CACATATTTAAATGAGGATTTGTGGACTTCTGTTGACCAATTTAGGAAGTCAAATCCATGAGTCAGTATCCCGCATCGAAGCGACAATGAACGCGAAATTTTTTTTTTTTTTTTCCCCCTTTGAGCATCAAAATGCAAGCGTTCAAATCATTGTGTATTGATTCATGATTTCACATATACGCGGAACACAATGTTGTGTTCGCAGTGTTTAAGGAAATGGGGCTTCAGGCGCTGCGAAGACATCTGCTGGATCAAGACCAACAAGAATAACCCAGGCAAGACAAAGGCACTGGACCCGAAAGCAGTATTTCAAAGGACCAAGGTACAGCACATTCATCTGACAGAACTCATTTTATTACAAAGACTTTTATTTTTGAATTTCTCACTTCAATGTGTTGGCTCATCAAGACAAATCTTAATATATCAGTGACAACCCACATTAATACAAACTACACTTTTGAAATTCTGATTGAACTTTTATTTTTGAATTTCTCACTTCAATGTGTTGGTTCATCAAGACAATCTTAATATGTCAGTGACAACCCACATGAATACAAACTACACTTTTGAAATTATGATTGGATTCATGAAGTGGACTAATAATCCATCTGGCCTCAGGTCTTGGCCCTGAAATTCAAGCGTGAGCGCCTTATGCAGCCCGATGACTCGAAACATACCAAGTCCACCTCTGAAAGGCTTAGGAAGGTTTTGAACTGGCCAAATCAAAAGTATGGTCTTACGTTTGTATGACCTTCAGGTAGTCTATGCTTAAAAACCTTCCAGTATGACCACGGTAAAATAATTCAGCAATATAAGTGGGCCAACATTCCTCCACGGTCACACAAAATCCTAATCACTGGTTACTGCAAATGTCTTATTTCTGCCAATGGTGGCACAACCAGTTGTTACTAAACAAGTCGGTCCACTGGCAATTACTTTTTCCACATCGGGCCAGGTAGGTTTGCCCCCACATTCACACCCAACTAATAATACTAAAATTTAGCATTCATTATTATTTTCCGGTACCGAGTAATCTTGGTGAGACATTAAAATTGGTTGAGTGAGCTGAAACATTGAAGTGTGATATGCAAAAAAGTAACAACCCAGGAAGAAGACACATTTTCCAGTGCCAAAGTCCAAGCAGACCAAATGTGAAAACGTGGCTTCTTCCTAGGAACACTGCCTGATGGGAATCAAAGGAACAGTACGGAGAAGCACAGACGGCGACTTCATCCATGCCAACGTGGACATCGACTTGATCATCACGGAGGAGCCCGAGATGGGAAATGTCGAGAAGCCCGTCGAGATCTTTCACATCATTGAGCACTTCTGTTTGGGGCGCAGGAGGTTGCACCTTTTTGGACGAGACTCGACCATCAGACCTGGTGTGTCGATCGTTTGTTTGCACGTTGTTGTCTCTTCTCTTCTTGTTCTGCCGGGTTGGTAAAACATCTGTGACTGGCTCCTGTCTCCCCCTACAGGCTGGCTGACAGTCGGTCCCACTCTCACCAACAGTAACTTCAACCCAGAGAGCTACTCCTCACATTTTGCTCTGCCTGAATCCTACCTCTCCGGCTGCACCGAGGAAATAGAGCGACTGCGCCCCAAATCGCCGCCTTCCAAGATGAAGTCCGACCGTGGCGGCGGCGCACCCAGAGGCGTGCGCAGTGGTCCGAATGCAGGAAGAGGTGGAGAGAGAGGTCGGGAAAGAATCCGACCAAACTTCCGCGGAGACAGGGGAGGCTTCCGTGGCCGAGGAGGCCCGCACAGGGGCTTCCCCCCACGTTAGCGCAATCAAACTGACCCGACTGGCGCGAGTTTGGGGCTTCCTTTGACTTGACCGTTGACAAGTTGCTCCTGATAAGGCCCCTATGATTCCCACTCCGAGGCCACATTTGGAGCACCAACGCAATCTCATGTGCCCTCAGACGCAAGCTGCATGTCTGCTTTGTTGACTGTCGACTCCACTCCAGTGGCCTCCAGCAGTGTTGTTTCACCAAAAATTTTTGAATCATTCACCCTGAGACATCGTCTGAATACAATTTTTTTCAAGCACATTAGTATCTATGAAAATTGACAGTTGTGACAGTAATTTAGAAGTGACTTGGGTAGTTGTGCTATTTGGCTAACAAATAGATATTTGAATTATTTTGGGTCCTTTTTTTAAAAAGTCCATTTCACAAAGAGACATTGTACTGCCAAGACTGTGTAAAATGGAAATCATAGCGGAAGACAGCACAAAGGACCTAAAAAGACTTTTTTTTTTTTTTTAATAGTATGTATATTTTTTGTTCTCATTTAGATTGAATTTATCTTATCCAAATAAACCTTTTTACAATTTCACCTTTTTTGTTCTTTGGTAATTTGATAAAACAGATGCGATGTCTCTGAGACAGTTTGCAATTGTTAAAATGTTTCGAGAAGTGAAACCGTTGACACTCATGGGGGATGTTATCCAGCGCCAAATTTACTCCTATGTCCTAATTTGACACCAGTATCTGGTGTTACGTAAAATTCGTTAATAATGTAATACAATTGTTTTTAACGCAAAAATAGACGTGATGTGAATCTCTGCCCAAAGTATCCAGCAGTGTTCCTCCTCACATATGCTGCTCCAACTCTGATACTGTCCGTGCTATGGCCTGCTGCATTTCTTCTGCTCTTAGCAGGGATTTCGATGTGCATTTTTACTGTGGTGAATTTGCAATAGAGGCAAGTGTGGGCACTGATTCCTCACATATGCTGCTCCAACTCTGATACTGTCCGTGCTACGGCCTGCTGCATTTCTTCTGCTCTTAGCAGGGATTTTGATGTGCATTTTTACTATGGTGAATTTGCAATATAGGCAAGTGTGAGCACTGGGCAGTGGCCACCGGATGTAGCAGACATCAACATTTTGGGCAGCAAGTTACTAAAACATCTCCTTCAAACATGTTCAACTTTTATATGTTTATGAGTAAGACACTTTATTGAATGTTTTCTGACTTTAATATGAGAATCTTGCCAACCTTGGTTTTTATTTATTTTATTTATTTTTTTGCTTCATTGGCCCGAATCCTCTTCCTTATACATGTCATGTAATATCAGCAAATGAACACCGGTATCTCGCCCTCTCTTTCAGGACCAATCAGTAAAACATCAGTTGTATCCCGATTGAACTGAAAGTAAAAGACTTTCAATCCGGTTGTGGTCATTAGGAGAAATGAAAATGTAAAACTGAATGTCATAAGCATAAATCTGAAAAAAAAAACAGACGACCCTGCCAAGTGGCGATATGTACAAATTTGTGTTGAACCTAAAATGGAACCTTGGCGAACACCACAATTCAACCTGTGACTTCCTGACAAGACGTTTTCATCTGTGGTGGCATAAAATTCTCAGACTGTGAGTTAGGGTTAACCATATCAAAACAACTGACTGATGACAGTAAATAGGGGAAAAAAAAAACAGATTTTTTTTTCTACACTCCAATAACCCTGACTACATACAGGGTGTTGAAGTAATGAAATGCGTACTCACGTTTGACAGAGCACTTTATTTGACCCCTGGAGAATAAACATGCACCTGGAATCAACCTCTGCTCTGTCCTTTTTTGTTGACAATAGAGGAGGGGCGCAGAAAGGCTATTGAGTCTTGAAAGCACACTTGTATTACACACATGAATAGCTGGTCAAGGGGAAAAAAAAACGATACTCGAATGCTGATCCAATGTGGCTTTTATTCAAGCACACTTGTATTACACACATGAATAGCTGGTCAGGGGGAAAAAAAATGATACTCGAATGCTGATCCAATGTGGCTTTTATTACAGCCTTCATTGACAATCACCCATGTTTAATTAGAGCACATCCCCCACCCTTGAGATATGTCTGTCATTGTCTGAAGATCCAGGCATTCACATGAGGATCGACAGTGTGCTTCGTTGCGCATTGGGGCACGTGAGATTGAGGCTCAACTCGGATTCAAAAGTTGAGGACCCTTGAACAAGATGCAGGATCAAATCTCGACAATGAAGGGATGAAAGTCATGTTGGTCTACTCAGATTCATTATGCAGGATCTGCTTCGTTGCGCATTGGGGCACGTGAGATTGAGGCTCAACACTGATTCAAAAGTTGACCCTTGAACAAGATGCAGGATCAAATCTCGACAATGAAGGGATGAAAGTCATGTTGGTCTACTCAGATTCATTATGCAGGATCAAATCTCGACAATCAAGGGATGAAAGTCATGTTGGTCTACTCAGATTCTAAAATGAATTAAGAATGAATAATCACGACACTAAGCTCTGTTTCCTGATTCTATGTGAGGGTCAAGGGTAGCTAGAGTTTATCCCAACTGACGTTGGACGAAAGGCAGACTTCACAATGACTGGTCGTTAGTTAACATCGCACACATATCGACAACCTCAATTCACACTTCACATTCAGTGCGTTGCTATGGGAACTGAACCTCGTCTGCCTGCAGGGACATGGTTGGATTTGTAACCTGGCATAGAAGAAGAAGTGACTTTTTTACACCAGATGCCCTTCCTGATAGAACTCAGCCATTTTTATCCAGGCTAGTGAGTGGCTGTGACTTGACATATCTAGGTATACTGTGCGGCTCTCAAGTGCTGAATTTAAAAAGAATGAGAAGAACTGTTTCAATTTGCCGGGAATCAAATCAGTCGTGTTCGCTCCCACAACGGCTCAAATCCCCATTTCGACAATAATTGCGGCTGTCGAAAATTCTAAAAGAAATTCAACTGCCTTTTGCACTCGACTTGCGCTGGGCAAAGGAATAGGACCCCAAGTGTCCAATTGAAGCCAGGATGTATTGAGGTTTAAAGTGTGTTGAAAGACTGCATCATACTGTCGTTTGAATGTATTGCAACCTGCTCCATGCTGTGGTTTAAACATGTTTTGAAAAGGATCCAACAAGTGAAATACAGGATTTAAAAACGGATTTGTGTTGAGCAAATGTTTTGCATTTAGGAAGTACAGTATAAAAGAATGTTAAGGTAGTTGCATCGCATGAGTTCATAAAGCAGCCCTGTTTTTTTGCCTGATACAAATGCATATTATGTGTTATTGAAGGAGGGAGCACCTTTCAATTAATAGACTAATGTCATTGTCCATCCAATTGGCAACATGACAAACAGTTGAGACTGTTTTTCTTTCAATGTGTTTATCTATGCAAGCCAACAAGTATTGGCCGCTTCCTTTGATTACTGTGGGCACGTATTCATTAGACCCACCTCTCACAACTCTCCCATCTCAATCCGCCTAGTAGGGCTTGCTTTTGAGAGCGTCATGAGGACAGACCGTCTTCTCTCTTCCACGCAAGTGAGTGTCTTTGTTTTCACTTTTTTTTACAAGAGCATCTTTTATCCACTGGTGGGGGTTGGGGGGAAAGTCATCTTTAGATTTGATATTGTTCAAATTCAGAATCCAATAATTCCACTTCATTACCTGTTTTGCGACTTTTACTAAATTAGTAGGGATGTATTTTTCTTCGACAAAAAAAACTGTTGTATGTGTGTGTGTATGAGAGCAGTCTGTCACATTTATCCAAAAAATATTGCACAAACGACATATGTCTGCAAATAAGTTATTTTTACCTCGACAATAACATAAATCCGTCATGCTAAATTAGAAAACTATGAACAGATTCAAATGAATTGTAGAAGGGATGTGAGGATGCAAGAGGTTCAATGAAGTGTCATCTTCTCTGAAGTGGGATGTAAGAGTCTTATATCGTAATCCTTCATGATTGGAAACAAAGGCATGCCGTCTAATAATTGCATTTTAATAAACAGATTTTTTGGGGGGTGGGGGGGTTGTAAAGCGACACTTGGCATGGTTGTGTTCTCTCAAGTGTCATTTTGTCATCACTGCATTGTCCCAATGGTCTTCATTAAAGTCAGTTGCAAGTCATCTGAAACACGTCATTGGCACGGCAAGGAAAGGATTTTGTCATGTGCCGTCTGCTGTACAACACACTTGAATGCATGGCTTGCTGTGCTTTTATATTTTATTTTATTTTTAAAATACATTTTGGGAAAGTGAAACTGATAGGATGCTGAGAGTGCACTGTACACTAACACAAATGTATATAATATTAATAACAAGCACACAGACACACAAATCTTTTTTTTGTCTCCATTTGCCCCTATAGCCGTCGCAATCGACTTGGGTCCAGTCTGCGAGTTAGCCGTCGATCGCAATTGACTGGTTGGGCATCCCTGGTGTACAGGACCCGCAGCATATTCACATTTGTCATCCACCCTGACACTTTTCATTTAATTGTGTCGATACCTTATGAGCATTGTAGATACCAATTGATACTTATGAGTACCGGTACTTATTAGTATCACACAATCAATACACTCATCACTTGTTGTGAGTAGATAAAAAAATTGAAGTTTTAGAGGAAATATTTGGTCATTTAGAGGTAGTGATATAAGACGATATGGGCATACATCTTAATGCTCCTGTTCTGGCGTTAATGTTCTTGGCAACTTTTGGCTGAAGCTCGGCAGAATTCTGGACGAATTTTCACTTATCTGGGGTCACATCGTGTGTCAGCAGCTTAAAGTGTAACGCCCAGATTTTCCTTGCCCCAGCCGCTTACTGTTACAATTTCGTCATCTTGTCAGTGGTGTCATTAACGGTCTGAATGTTTTGACAGGTTGAACAAGAAGATGGACAACGGTAGCTTCGAAGACGGTGCCAACACAACACTTGACATCAATCAGGATTCCTGCGCCATGATGAGGAACCCGGTGTTTCGTTTTATCCTGTATGGCTTCTTCTTTATTGGTATCATCTGCACAGTGGTGGGCAACTTCCTGGTGGTCTTGTCGATTTCCTACTTTAAACAGCTGCAGTCGCCCACAAACTCCTTTGTCATGTCCCTAGCCGTGGCTGACTGCCTCGTGGGCCTGGTCGTAATGCCTTACAGTATGATTCGGACAGTGGAAGGGTGCTGGTTCTTTGGTTCCCTTTTTTGTCAGCTCCACTCCAGCCTCGACGTCATGCTGTGTACTGCTTCCATATTCCATCTGAGTTGCATCGCCTTTGATCGCTACTATGCCGTCTGCAACCCACTAGTTTATTCTTTGAAAATGTCTCCAAGTCGAGTGGCTTTCCTCATTGTCATCTGCTGGGTCGTTCCTATTCTTATTTCCTTCGGTCCGATCATGCTAGGCCTCCATATTGCTGGAGTTGACATCCTGCTCCCTCAAGAGGTCTGTGTTTTCCTGGTCAATCGCGTCTACGCTGTCATGGCTTCCTTGATAGCCTTCTACCTGCCCATGGCTATCATGCTGGTGGCCTACTGGAAGATATTCAAAGCAGCCAGACGGCAGGCAAGGCAGATCAGCGCCATGGAAAGCCAGATGGCGGCTGGAGTGGGAAAAGACTCAAGCAAAAAGAAAAAGCACCGCAACACCATGAAGAGAGAGCGAAAGGCAGCGAAAACCTTGGGCATCATCATGGGAGTCTTCCTCATCTTCTGGATGCCATTTTTTACTGTCAACATTGTGGACCCCTTCATAAATTACAGCACTGAAGTGGTCATCTGGGACATATTTTTATGGCTGGGATATATCAACTCATCATTAAATCCCTTCCTGTATGGTTTCTTTAATCGCTCATTTCGGAAGGCATTCTTCATGTTCATGGGCTGCAGTGTTTGCCGACCTGGAATATCCCCTGGGATGGAGCTATCACATACCAGGAAAGAAATTAATGACTGTGCCGATAAGTAATATAATGATTTTTGTGGTGCGTTGGAAGTGATGGTTGAGAGCTGAGCCATTTTTGGGTCGACCTGCCTTAAATACATTCTCGATCACTTCTTAGCCTTGTGGTATTTGTATTTATTTTTTAATGAAAGCCTTTTTTAATTCCAATTCATTCACCCATGGAAATGCAAAAACAACAAACAAAAAACAGAGACCTAGTAATTAATTTGAAAAAAAAACATTATTTTTTCAACCATGGTTTACTGCACATGTAATGTGAGGTACTCAACATTTATTTGCATTCACAGTCAAACAGCCCTTCAAAGAAATTACTAAGGGCCTGCTACACAAATTAATTTGACACCCCTGCCCGAACTGTAACCGTCTTAAAACTTGGAATGTTCCATGTCACAAGGAGTTGTTATTCAAGATCTGCTGCAGGCTCTGGGAAGGTTCACTCATTTATTTGTCCTGGAAATTTGATGATATTCCAAAAAAGACTGGCATGAGGGGGCTGGGGCTTAAAATCTCAGCTCATTCTTTTGCCAATTTTTGGGGGGTTGTTATTATCAAAATGTAGGTTTTGCATCATATTTGCTAATTGTATGCTAAAAACCTGCTGGGGTTGCTTTCATTCCTGTTACTCAAATGACTAATTTCAGTACAACCACATCATAAATAAAGTGTGAGATAGGTCAATACACATTGTGAGTAATTCAAATTAGATTTAGAGCTGTAAAAAGTCTGACATTTAAGTTTATTTTGAGAGCATCAATTTGGTGAATTTGCCCATTTTTAGCTTGCTTGCATGTGCAAGTGCAGGAATTTAGATAAGTGGTCTTCCTTGGATTTTTATCTCTTCGCGTCAGTCATCTAAAACCATCAATAATGTTAGCATAATAGGCTATTCACACGCATTTGAGCCAAGTTGACAAATGTCAGCAACATTATTTGCGGAATAGATTGGTTAGTATAACTTTTGAGAAAACACAACTAGCATTCTGCAGTGCCCACTCCACCGTAGTGGTCCATCATTATTGTGCGCTGAGGCAGAAAAAAAAAAAATGACCAATTTGTTTGGAAGACAGTTGGTGTCTCAATTTTTCTCAAGCTTCTAATGCCACGTGACTTTCCCAGTCTCCTCCTGTCGAATTTGGAAATGGGTAAATTCTTCATACCCCAAACCGAGGTTGAATATTGTATCAAACTAGAAATGTGCAGTGTGGAAATGTGTCATGGATCCGTGAACTACGAACATTTGCTTTCATGTGACATCCACTGTTCCAATATTGGCTTTATTAAGTATATTGTGTGCCTTTGTCGTGTTGTGTCTTGATTGTGTTCCAGCTCCAGCTGGAGTGAAGGGCGTTTCCCTCCAGCAGGTGCACCTGCTGCCTCGTTTCCCCTATCAAGCCTAGCCTTGTATTTAAGGACTCTGACTGCTGTCTTTGGAGACTTTTCAGATTACTGACTTTGTTTACTGTTGTGCTTCAAATGTGATTTTCTAGACCTCTCGATCGATACTATTCTCGATACTGCTCTCGTTTTGTTCATAGATCCTTGTTTAGAAGCATTTTTTGTTATTCTAGTATTGCTCTTTGTTTTTGTGTAATTGGACTTTTGGATATTTTGTTTGAGTATTCTTTTGGTTTCATGGATTGTTTTTCCTGGCTGACACCTTGTGACCACCGATTTCAGTTCACACTTTGTCGGTGCAATTTTCTTTAATACATTATTTTGTAATCGCTATTTGTTATAGTCTGCATATTTGGAATCCTAAAACATTTGGAAGATATTGATGCTATCATGTTGAAAATGTTATACTGTATTTGGTCCCAGTCCTCATCCTTTGTGTGAAACTGGAAATGCTGAATTACTTAATCAAGCCATGTTTAGCAACCACACATCATGTTGCTCCCTAAAATCCCTTCCTGTATGGTTTCTTTAATCGCTCATTTCGGAAGGCATTCTTCATGTTCATGGGCTGCAGTGTTTGCCGACCTGGAATATCCCCTGGGATGGAGCTATCACATACCAGGAAAGAAATTAATGACTGTGCCGATAAGTAATATAATGATTTTTGTGGTGCGTTGGAAGTGATGGTTGAGAGCTGAGCCATTTTTGGGTCGACCTGCCTTAAATACATTCTCGATCACTTCTTAGCCTTGTGGTATTTGTATTTATTTTTTAATGAAAGCCTTTTTTAATTCCAATTCATTCACCCATGGAAATGCAAAAACAACAAACAAAAAACAGAGACCTAGTAATTAATTTGAAAAAAAAACATTATTTTTTCAACCATGGTTTACTGCACATGTAATGTGAGGTACTCAACATTTATTTGCATTCACAGTCAAACAGCCCTTCAAAGAAATTACTAAGGGCCTGCTACACAAATTAATTTGACACCCCTGCCCGAACTGTAACCGTCTTAAAACTTGGAATGTTCCATGTCACAAGGAGTTGTTATTCAAGATCTGCTGCAGGCTCTGGGAAGGTTCACTCATTTATTTGTCCTGGAAATTTGATGATATTCCAAAAAAGACTGGCATGAGGGGGCTGGGGCTTAAAATCTCAGCTCATTCTTTTGCCAATTTTTGGGGGGTTGTTATTATCAAAATGTAGGTTTTGCATCATATTTGCTAATTGTATGCTAAAAACCTGCTGGGGTTGCTTTCATTCCTGTTACTCAAATGACTAATTTCAGTACAACCACATCATAAATAAAGTGTGAGATAGGTCAATACACATTGTGAGTAATTCAAATTAGATTTAGAGCTGTAAAAAGTCTGACATTTAAGTTTATTGTGAGAGCATCAATTTGGTGAATTTGCCCATTTTTAGCTTGCTTGCATGTGCAAGTGCAGGAATAGATAAGTGGGGTCTTCCTTGGATTTTTATCTCTTCGCGTCAGTCATCTAAAACCATCAATAATGTTAGCATAATAGGCTATTCACACGCATTTGAGCCAAGTTGACAAATGTCAGCAACATTATTTGCGGAATAGATTGGTTAGTATAACTTTTGAGAAAACACAACTAGCATTCTGCAGTGCCCACTCCACCGTAGTGGTCCATCATTATTGTGCGCTGAGGCAGAAAAAAAAAAAATGACCAATTTGTTTGGAAGACAGTTGGTGTCTCAATTTTTCTCAAGCTTCTAATGCCACGTGACTTTCCCAGTCTCCTCCTGTCGAATTTGGAAATGGGTAAATTCTTCATACCCCAAACCGAGGTTGAATATTGTATCAAACTAGAAATGTGCAGTGTGGAAATGTGTCATGGATCCGTGAACTACGAACATTTGCTTTCATGTGACATCCACTGTTCCAATATTGGCTTTATTAAGTATATTGTGTGCCTTTGTCGTGTTGTGTCTTGATTGTGTTCCAGCTCCAGCTGGAGTGAAGGGCGTTTCCCTCCAGCAGGTGCACCTGCTGCCTCGTTTCCCCTATCAAGCCTAGCCTTGTATTTAAGGACTCTGACTGCTGTCTTTGGAGACTTTTCAGATTACTGACTTTGTTTACTGTTGTGCTTCAAATGTGATTTTCTAGACCTCTCGATCGATACTATTCTCGATACTGCTCTCGTTTTGTTCATAGATCCTTGTTTAGAAGCATTTTTTGTTATTCTAGTATTGCTCTTTGTTTTTGTGTAATTGGACTTTTGGATATTTTGTTTGAGTATTCTTTTGGTTTCATGGATTGTTTTTCCTGGCTGACACCTTGTGACCACCGATTTCAGTTCACACTTTGTCGGTGCAATTTTCTTTAATACATTATTTTGTAATCGCTATTTGTTATAGTCTGCATATTTGGAATCCTAAAACATTTGGAAGATATTGATGCTATCATGTTGAAAATGTTATACTGTATTTGGTCCCAGTCCTCATCCTTTGTGTGAAACTGGAAATGCTGAATTACTTAATCAAGCCATGTTTAGCAACCACACATCATGTTGCTCCCTAAGTAGCAGAATTAGAGTGGGAAATATAGAATTAGAAAGATACGAGATGACAAGCCTAAAAGAAAGCAAAAAAAATGAGCGGAGAAAATACTGAAAATTGCTTGTCTGTCCGCTGTATTTGCACTTCAATAAATGTGTTTCATCAAAACTTAAATGGGTCTTTGAATCAAAGTTTTCCCCAAAGTATGTCATTATGTAACTAATTAGAATTTCACACTTTTAATTGCAACAAAGATGATCAAGTCCAAGACAAGGTGCGAGATTAGCAAATCCATTATTTTTATAAATTAGTCTGCATTATAATTCATGGTCGATTTGTGACACAACCGGAATATTAACTTTGGCTATTATTTTTCATATTTTTCATTCAAACGTGTGTGTGTGTGTTACCCCCAATCAGAATGAGTCATGATGTCTGACATTGTCGTTGCTGTCATGTGAAAATTCTCCATCAAGAAGTGCAAGTGGAGCAATAGTGTCATCTGCTGGAAGGTGCCGGTCATTTTGTTAAAAATAATAATCCCCAAATGACATGGTAACTTCGATATCAGGGAAATTGAATAAAAGATTAATGCTTTTTTTTAATGAATTTAATTTGCACAAAATACAAATACAGCATTGAAAAAAAAACTATGCACATTCATATCACAGTAGCACTCCGCACTTCAATTTAAGGTTATAATGGCCAAGTAAATGTGTCGCTTAAAATTGATGCAGTGAATCTGTTACAAGACACACTGCACAGTATTTAATCCCCTAGTAACTGCACCGTTTTACTACGTGTTGTCAAAATAAAACCAACATCAAGTTATTTATATAAAAATGTGAAATTGAAACCTGTGTGAACCAAGCCAAACTGAAACAATGTGTTCAATCTGTTGTGGTTGTGAAGGATGGAAATAATGTTTAAAGTCACATTTGTGCCGGGGCCATGCCGTCATTCTCAAACTATCAACAGTTCTGTCATTGACACTTCCTGGCCACACGAAGATGATCACAATGCAACACAATACAGGAGCTGAATTCCAAGATGTCAAAAGTGAGCATTAGTTTTGCAACGCCAGATGTCTGATGCAGCTCTTGTATTGAATCCTATTCTTTAGTGTCTATTGTGTTGGTTCTGGATTTGAATGATCAAAGATGTTGCTCCAAAAGGGTTTTCGGAGAATAGAGCATCCTCTTCTGGTCCATTTAAATATCCGTCTCCTTCAGGCCGTAACAGTCAGC